GTTGGACTCATTTCAGTGGGTATGCTTAGCATCTAGAACTTGCAGCTTGTGTAACCCTGTGTAGAAGAAAATATAGATGGGGATTTCCACAGGATAGGATGTTATTTTGTGAATGACACAATGTAAAATAGGAAATGAAGCATGTTAAGCTTCAGATAAGACTGTAGTGACTGGATTACTCCTCATGAAATATTTCCAAATTTTAGCCTGGTTAAATAGATGTGTAGATATCAGAGTCTGTCAATTAAATTCACTTCCCTCACCTATTGTAGATACTCTGGGGATACAAACTTAACAATTACTGTGATCCAAATAATTACTGAATGCAATTAGTTAAAGAGTGATCACATAATCATGATAACAGCCGTATCGTAACGGCTGTTGTTTAATGCACTTCTGTTGTATGAAACCAAAGCTGCTGAAAGGCAAGATCTTAGGTGAGCTCTAGGTGGGTTAACAACACCAAGTGAAGTTAACAAAATCCTGAGGAAATTCTGTCTCTGTATTTTCAGAGCTGTTCTAGAGCAGTTTTGTGGTGGTATAACTGCTTTCCATAGAAGATCTTAAACATCACTGATTCTGAGCTCAAGATGAGAATCCTGACGAGTGAGAAGTTGGGGAAGGGTGGCAGGAGGCCTGTGTAGATGAGCGAGGAACTCATGGGTCAACTAAAAGAAAAGAAGGCGGCCAACGAAATGTGGGAAAAAGGGCCTGATCACCGAGGAAGAAGAAAGGAATGAATCAACAGTGAAAGGAATATTAGGGAAAATGTGTGTCCCCTACTAAATGAGGTGAGTGCCCTCGTAACAGGGGATGCTGAGAAGGCAGAGATTCTGAATACCTGCTTTGCTTCAGTCTTCAGTGCTAAGACTAGCCCTCAGGAATCCTAGACCCTGGGGAGTAGGAGAGAGTGTCAGGGGAAAGGAAGACTTCCTGTTGGTTAAGGAGGATCTGGTCAGAGAGCATCTAGCTAGTATTAGTGCACATAGATCCATGGGCCCCAGTGCAATGTGTCCATGTGGGGTGAGGGAGCTGGCAGAGGAGGCTGCTGAACCACTCTGTATCATCTTCAAAAGTTCTTGGCGAACTGGGGAGCTACCTGAAGACTGGAGGGTAGCCTATAGCACTTCAGTCTTCAAGGGCAAGAAGGAAGATCTGGGAATCTCCATCCCCAGAAAGGTGATGGAACAACTTGTTCTGCATACCCTCTCCAAGCAATTAGAAGTTATCAGGAGTAGTTAACATGGATTCACCAAGGGGAAATCATGCTTGACCAACCTGGTAGCCTTCTATGATGTCATCTCTGGCTGAGTAGATGGGGGAGGGCAGTGGATGTTATGTTCCTTGACTTCAGCAAGGTGTTTGACACTATCTCTCATAAAATCCTTGTTATTAAACTTAGAAAGTGTGACATAGATGAGTGGACAGTGAAGTGGATTGAGAACTGGCTGACTGGCAGAGCTCAGCATTGCTATCAGTGGCACAGAAACTGGTTGGATGCCTGTAACTAGCTGTGCTCCCCAAGGGATCAGTGCCGGGTCTGGTTCATCAACAACCTGAATGAAGGGATAGAGACCACCCTCATCAAGTTTGCTGATAATACAAAGCTGGGAGGAGTGGCTGATGGAGTAGAAGGCTGTTTTGTTATTCAACAAGACCAAGTCAGACTGGAGAGTTGGCCAAAGAGGAACCTGATTAGGTTTAAAAAGAGCGAGTGTAAGATATTGCATCTGTGAAGGAGTAGTTGCGTGTGTCAATACAGGTTTGGGAATGACCTTCTGGAGGGGAGCTCTGCAGAGAAGAACCTGGGTATTCTGGTGGACAAGAGGTTGGCCATGAGCTAACAGGTCGAGGGAGGTAATCCTCCCCCTCTACTCTGCTCTGGTAAGGCCACATTTAGAGTAGTGTGTCCAGATCTGGTCTCCCTGGTTTAACATGACAGAGATCTCCTAGAAGGTGTCCAGCAGAGGACCACAAAGATGATAAAAAGTCTGGAGCATTTCCCATATGAGGGAAGGCTGAGGAAAAGAAGACTGAGGGGAGATCTAATTAATGTTTATAAATATCTAAAGGAAGGTGGGAGGCAAATGAACGAGACGACGCTTTTCTTGGTGGTGTGTAGTGATAGGACAAGGAATAAAGGCCTGAAATTTGAACATAGGAAGTTGCATACTAACATGCAGAAGAACCTATTTATGATAAGGGTGACGGAGCACTAGAACAGGCTGCCCGGAGAGGTTGCTGAGTCTCCTTCTATGGAGATAATCAAGGCCTGTCTGAACAACTATCTGTGTGACCTATTGTAGGGAACCTGTTCTAGCAGGGGGGTTGGACTTGAGCTCTTGAGGTCCTTTCCAATGATTCAGTGTGACTGTGATATCTTCATGTTAAACGACATTAAATAAGGCTCTGATGCTTACTGCTCAAATCAGGACTCTGAATCCCCTTTCTCACTGCTGCTTATACTTGGAAGCTAATTTGTAGGAACTGGCAAAACATGGCTCCTTCCCCAGATTATCTGTGAGTAGTCTTCCTTCTAGAAGCCACTTCCCTCCATGCTGAAGTTGCAGAATGTGTGTTTTCTGTCTAAAATGGCCCATGAAGTTGCAAGCTTAGGCAAAAACCTTCACACCAGTTATCTTCTGCATGAATACACTAGGAACCTGAAAGTTCTCGGTTTGACTTTCAGTGACAAAAAGGCAAAACACTACAACAGAGCCTCTATTCCTTAAAGCTTAGCAGCCATATGCTGAGCTTTTATAAACTGTCACTGATGTGAAACTTTAATATGATTTAGCAGTGCTTTTCTTTCTGTAGGGAAAACGGTAGCCAAGTTATAACTCTTGAGGATTCAGGTCTTTATTACTTGTAATATGACGTGCATAGCAAACATAATTCTAGTGCTTTGTCTTGAGGGAAAGGGAAAAGCCTCATTACTTTTAAAATTAAGCTTCACTACCTAGAACTGTGCAGAAATAACCGAATAATGTTTGCATTTTCTAGTAGTTGAAAATGGCTTGGGAATCGTAAGAAACCAATTGCAGCTACTAGCAACAGTGTTTCCTATGGGAATACAATTACAGTTTCATTTTCCTATTTCTTTTACCTGGTCTTTTGTTCCTGGATGGTAGGAGTGGGAAAGATAATTAAAACCAAGGAGAAGAAACAACTAAAACCACAGTGACATTAACTGAAACAGCACAATAGGTTTGTACGTGTCCAGAAACTTGAAGGAAAAATAATTGGCATGGTTTTTTTTAGCTGTAAAAGTGAATTCACAGGTATGAATGGTGCCTTTTGGGGCCATGCAGAATGTTGCTAACAATTGCTGCATTATGGCAGTTAGTATATCCAGGTGAGATACAGCTGGATGCTACATAACTGAATCTTGGGCCAAATTAATATACTTCTCCATACAAGCATCTCGCTCTCTTCTATACTTCTATCACTAAAGACCTTCTAAAATATGTCAACTTCTTGGTGTTTAGGTTATGGAGTTCTGTACTATGGGTAATGAACTGCTGTGTTGTAGTAACATATATGGAAATAGAGGTGTGGTGAAAATAAAGAGTATTAAGTTCATCCTATTAGGAAATCTCATCATGATGCCTTGCTTATTTTATGTTTGAAGAGAAGTGTGTGAACTAAACTGAACTTGGTAATTTAGTTTCAGAAAACACTTACCTGAAAACACGTTGTGTACATGGTTCCTAGTCCATCAAGAGTGCTGAAAACCACAGAATTCCATACTCACATTTTTATCAGCTTTATTACATAATAAAATGGTAGCATATTTTCCCTGCATTGCAAACAAATGTAACCCTGACTTCCATAAAAATCGAAGTTGAACTATTATGCATCAAAATTGCCCAAGTTGAAGCTGTAGCATAATGTCGCTTGAAGCTTGAGTTTGTCAGCCTTAAAATTCAGCGTGGTGTTGTCTTGTGTGTGCAAACCACATACCTGTTTTGGAGTGGCCACAGATCAGTGGTTGAGCTGTGTAACCATTTAGCTCTTCTTTTGTCCTTCAGAAACCTTAAAGGACTTAACGATGTTGGGCACCAGTTGTTTTTTTGGTGGTGTTTTTTTTGGTTTTCCTGAGATTAGATCAGACATGGGATCCTTAGGGTAAGTATTCACATAAGCTAGTTAATGCTGTATTCAGAATAAGACTCAGAGCTCCAGAAAAAGAGAAGAACTCACTGTGTGATCTACCTTGAAAGGAACTTGTTTGTCTGAGTGTCTCCCAGACCTAACATGTATCATGTAACGTATCAACTGTACAAATATTGTTTTTTTTTTTATTTTATTTCTCATTTCTGTGTTATCAACCAGAACTAGAAGCTTCACAACACAAAGTTCTGTGCCTACTTTGGTCCAAGTACACAACTTACTCAGTTTACATCAGTTACTCAGTGTTGTAATGAACTATGTGGGCAAATATAGATGCACATCGATTAATTTGATTTTCTCACTTATCTTTTTCCTGATAGGTAAAGCCAGCCACTTGGTCTATCTCTGTCTTCCTTTGTTATACAGGCAGATATTCCTCCTCTAGATCCTTCTGGAAACAATTTCATTTTTACAAGCAGAAAAGGAAAACAGATAAATTAGTCAGACAGTGAATTTGGTGCTGCAAAAAGAAGAGGTAGCAGTTCGTCTCCTTCTGATTTTCTTCTAAATTTACTTTTCCTTAATTTCCCAGAGGAAATTGGAAGGATATCAAAAAGACATGTGCAGTACTGTACTCTCAATTAGTTTATAGAGAAACAGTGCCAGAACAGGGAGATGCTACTTTATTGCATGGCACCACATGGAATCTAAGAGCTAAATTACCCTGCCATTCTTGTCTCTAATGCTCTTAATAAATAAATAAACAAATAAAAATTACAACAGAGCAGAATTGGAGTGAGTTCAAAAGAACATTCCTTTGCTTACTTATGCTTCAGTGTTATGCCTGGCTGCATGCGTTTAGAAGTTTAATCTCCTTTCCTTTTCAGCTTTCCAGTTCATCTCAGCAATTTGTTGCTGTTGTTGGACTTCTTTCTGCTGGCTAACTGCAATAAATGGCTTCGTAAGGTCGCTGCTGGGAAGAGGCAGAATAAGGAGAGGAATAGAGGTGATGAATACATTTTTATATCCATTCAGGTGCTGGGCACTTTGCATGGGAACATCTGGATGGATATTTTTCTGGCATGTTGCACAGAGCAGATCCTGTCCATGGAAAGAAGCTCTCCCTTTTGATCATTCAAGCTAATATGTAATTAAAAATGTATTCCTGGCATCTCGCTGCACTTTTAGATACGCTTTAGGGGCCGAGTTCTTTTCAGTATTTTTACAAATTATCTAGATGTGGGAACTGAGTGCATTCTAAGTTTGCAGACAAAACTTACTTAGAAGGAGCTGTGGGCTCCCTCAATGGTAAATAGGGCATAAATAATTATGGTAACTGTGTTTGTCCCATAACTAATCAATACAGAAGGCAGATGATTGAGCATGGAGGTTGTTAGTGCTTGTTGAGCACACACATACAGAATGGCTTGTGGATTTGGTGGTTTTTCTGTAATAGTTCTCTTCAGAGAGTCACAGCACCCCATCAAAACCATTCAGAGAGGCCTTCTCTGTGTTTTGCTCACAGGTTGTAGTGATTGCCAGATTTTTACAGGAGGAAGTTTATGTCCACTCATGTTTCCTAGATGATAGACATGAGGAGTTCTTAGGAAGCAGAGTGGAGCCGTCTCTCCCAGCAGGCAGCCTGACTGCAGGAGATGGATGCAGAGCCTTTTTAAAGGCCAGGCTATTGCTTGACTTGAAAGACAAGTGTTTCATGTTTGTTTGTTTGTTCCTTTGGTGTGGGAGGAGGAACAGGAAGGAAGTTCTTCAGCTTTTGTTTTGTCTGTGAGTCCTATGAGGATAACTTGTCAGTAGTTCCTGCTGATAGGAAAATCAGCATAAAGGTTATAGGGCAAAGAGAAAGAAAATGTCAAATTATTTCCACTTCCATTATGTTTCACACAATTTTATGCAGGCTTTATAATTGCCCAGTAATGTACTGGTTTTGCTCCTTTCCCCTGCTGTTTAAATTTCAGAGTGTAAAATACTATTTGTCAGGCTAGTGATTTCCTTCTCAGACTCTTCAGAGAAATTCTGCTCTTAAATGCAACAATTTCAGTCAGAAGAATTGGTTTCCTTTTATAAAAGTCTAACGTCCTGAAGAACAGTTTTATGCTTGATGGGCATTTGCTGCTTTCATTGTAAAATTGTTCATTCAGTTCATCTGCCAGTTCAAATAATAACCCAGTCATCACTAGCTAATGCAATTTATTGTTACAACAGCAGAACTTTAGAAGTGCTACCTAACAACATGGAAAGAACATATACTTTAAAAGCAACATTTCAGTGAATGCTATGAGCAGATTCTTTCCCTTAGGGATGCAATTTTCATGAACGCATCTGCAAGTTTTAAGAAACTTCACAATTTGGCAAAAGTCCTTTATGGATTTGGAAGTCTACAACTCTAAAATAAAGTAGATTATTATACTGAAGGTTAGTTTAAGTAGCTGTGTAAGAGAGAGGCAGCACTGCCATTTGCAAGCTGACACAGAGGTGAAAGAGATAGCAGGCTGGGCAGCTGGGCCACAGTTAGTATTAGGACATGGGATAACAGTATATAGGATAGCGGTGCCTAACTCTTCCTAGAAGAGAATTACTGGACAGCAGACTTCAAATATTTGATGTTTACCTATTGAAGATATATTGTCAGTGCTAAGTTTTTATCTCAGCAGACGTAGATAGGTTGTTTTGTACCAAATATGCTGTCATTGATTGTATAAACTTGATTTAAACTTCTGCGGTACCTTTGGCAACAAAGTTACAGATTGGCTATGTACTGTGTTAATAATATCCTTTTACAATCTGTGGTACAGTTTTGGTTTATGAGAGCCCATTTCTTAATTGTCATTCAAAGGATTAATGGGGGCTTCTATTACCTTTTCATTAAAGTTCCTTTTGAATTTCACCAGCATGTCTTTTTGCTAGGAATGTACCAGCTGGAGTTCATCTGATTCTTTGAACATCTTCTGTTCTGCTCTATTTAAATAAAGATGAGCAGAATGATACAAGCAATTGTAGACGAAAGCATGCCATTAATTTAAAGGATTGGATGGGCACTTTCACTATTATATTTTTCATAACCTTGACTGATTAAGAATAACCAGCTTGTATAACCCCTTGTAAAGTGACACAACCATGCCAAATCTCCACTGGTATGGTTGTATTCTGAAGCTTGTATTTGCTCAAGAAGTTTTCTCGACTTTCTTTTTCCCCTTTGTAAGGCGGAAAATTGAACTTTTTTTTTTCTTTAACTAGAAAAATTATTAACAAACATATATATATATACATATATACATACACATATAAAACATGAAAAGGTCCAAACACAATCCTTTTTTACGGCAGGCATCCAGCAGAGGTCCCCCACAGCTTGCTGCTGTCAGTGCAGCCGGTGCCTGGAGAGGGGGAGGTAGGGCTGGGGAGCCTTCCTGCAGCATCTGCACGAAATCAGGTAATGTTCTGATGTGCTGTGCTACAGTAACTTCAAACTTCGGAAAATCACTCTGGGTTTTACTGAAACGTGAAAATGAAGGATGCCGAGGTAGCTGTTGTGACTTGGCTCCGTTTCTTCCTTTGTAAGGCTGTCAAATATTGCCAAACAGCATTTGAACGGTGTGGCAGAAATCATCTTTGTAGACTGAGTGACTTGTAGACAGGCAGGTCAACAGCACAATGCTTGTTTTTGCCAAGGAAATTCCAGAGACTTATGAAGTTCTTTTGTTTTGGGGAGCTTAACGTGATTTAGTCATTGTTAAGGAAATACAGGAAAATAGAAATGTATGGTTAATAGAGGGAACAGGATCTTTTGTATACTGTTTATGTATTTTTATTGCTGTCTCTTGTATCAGGAAGATAAATTTATACTGGGATACAAACACAGAATCAGCCAACTCCTTCTAGTACTTGAAGGGGGCCTACAGGATAGATAGGGAGGGACTTTTTATTAGGGCACATAGCAATAGGATGAGGGGAAATGGCTTTAAACTGGAAAAGGGGAGATTTAGACTAGATATTAGGAAGAAAATATTTAATGTGTGGGGAAGGAGACACTGAAACAAGTTTCCCAGTGAGGTTGTTGATGCCCCCTCCCTGGAAGCATTCAAGGCCAGGCTGGATGGAGCTGTGAGCAACCTGGTCTAGAGGGAGGTGTCCCTGCCTATAGCGGGGGTTGGGGCTAGGTCATCTTAAAGGGCCCTTCCAACCCAAACCATTGTATGATTCTTATTGCACATCTTATTGCTTAGAAATAAAGACAGTAGAACTTTTATATGAATGCTGTTGCACAAATTGTGTAGTGGATGCTGAATTCATTTTAGCAAGGTGATTTGAGTTTCTAATGATAATTAAATGAACTCTACCTTTTAGTTATTGTTTATTACTGTAAATTACAGGTTTTGTTTTGCTTGAAGTCCACTGTGAGCATTACCGCGTGAAGTTCTTTAATGAAAAGTAGAAATCAGCTTATTACAATGCATAAAGTCAATAACAGAAGGAAATCCACTATTAATATATACTGATCTTGAAACATAAGCTTTTTCTTCTCTGTTCTTTCGTGGTGTTCTTGGTGAAAAAGTTGTTAGTACAGTCATATTTGTAATGAACTTTTATAATAATTTTATTCATAAACTTCCATAATAAACTTCTGTAAACTTTTAAAGGGACAAATCAGAAGTTCTATTTCAGCACTAGGACCTACCAGGCTGTGGAAAATAAGCCTTTACTTTTCAGATATTTGGAAAAGTGTCAATTAAATACACCCAAGCATTCCCATAGCTTGCTAGAGGTAGCTTGATCTATTCAACTTCTCATTTTGATAGATGTGCTACCTTTTCTTTGTAGTGTTACTCTCATTAATTATTTTTGAGGTAGTAATTCAACAAAACCTTTTATCAGGCCCAGACCTACTTTGTCATGTAATGAGCTAACAAGAAATAAAGGGAATACCTGCAGAGCCAGAGTAGTTTGGTCTTGAATCTGTATTCTAATGTAGTAAATTGTCCTCGGGTCAAAGGATACAGCAGACTTCCCCATCATTGATTTGAAATGGATGTAAGTTATTAGAAGAAAATTGGCAAAGCAGATAACCAACATTACATTACTTTTTTTTTTTTTTTTAGACTTATTATTATTAAGGCCATAGAACTCTGGATGCATTAAGTTAATCAGCTTGTCCTGCACTGACAGATTTCTTCATTTCATCTTTGAAATGTGATTCCTCATTTCTGCTCCAAGAAGTCCATTACAAATGTCTCCTACGGCTTTCTGGTATGTCTCCAGTTTTAGGCTATTTCAGAAGAGGGAAAATAAGCACTGGGGAGTTTATAATTTCATTGCTTTTTCAGCCATCTCGTCTCTTTTGTGAAAGGAACAGCACTTGAGGACCACTGCTGATGGCAGGCGTGACAATGTGCAAGGAGGGGTTGTGTTATGTTCCCAGAGAGCTAGCGGGACCTAACGTGACGTTAATGGCCTTGGAGCAGATTTTCTGAAGAGTGGACTCCTACAGAGCAGGTAAGAGATCAGCTGTACCCTGAATGAGCTTTACTCACCAAATGACCTTGAGAAATGATTGCCAGTAGAGCGTATTTGCAAATCAGTTCTGCCATAGGAATAAAACCCTCAACTTCACTCATCATGATGCGCAGTGAGGACCAGAGGAGGCTGCGTTATCTGAAATGTGCTTGGATACTCTAGGATATTAATTGAGCGAATGTATCATCAAGGCTTCAAACAATTACCTTTGTAGGATGCGTTCTGGAACTGACAGAGCCTTAAAAAAGCTAATTGTTTTGCCTGTGTCGAGTCCCAGTTGTTACATAAAAATGAATTTAATTTTCCTGCAGCGAACAGCTTGCACTTCTCACAGTTGTGCTAACACCACAAAAAGAAAAAAATCAGCAGAAAGTGAAGATCTAGACTGCACGCAGATCTCTTGTGCGGCTCTTTAACCCCCAGGCCGAGAGGCCAATATCCTTGTGAATACTAAATGAACCCTAATTTGGTGGAGGTCCTCGTAAAGCCAAGAGAATGGCTAGCAGTTAAAAGAGTAAGACTATCATCTCTCTCAACCTAAGTAAATCTGGACATTAATTATGAAGGGGCACTTCTTGCAGGGATGTTATCTCCTTGCTTAGCTGTTTTTATTGTTATACCCCACCTGAGCTTCCCCCCCTTCCACCTCCCTAAAAAAAAACCAACACAAAACAGAACCCATGGGCAATTTTATAGTTAAAATTACTATTAATGATCTGTTTTGGAGTTTGTGTCTTTCTGGTTCCTACCAAGTATGAAGAAATGAATACCTGTGAAACTGACCAGTGCCAAGTTAGTCCTCTGAAGAAATTTTGTACTACAAGTAGCCTCAAAAATCCTTTTATACCCTGCTTTGTTCACAGGGACAGGAATAAGTGTTTCCTGCTAAAAATGTCAGACTACTGTGGCATTCGAGCAATACAGATGTGATCCTTCTCCTGCTAATATAAAGCAAACGTTTGATTAACTGGACATAAGAGCAGAGTCAGTGTACTTCAGTCTTGAAAGTCAAATTACTGTTCTGCTAATTTCCCAGAGGAGTGCTCTTAAGCCTTATTATTAAATGAATCATCATAAGAATTTGACAAGGGCACAAAGAAGCGTTTGTATTTATTGAAAAGAACTAAATTTGAATTGTGACAGTGTTATCTTTCCTTGTATTTCCTAATACTAGTTTGTAATGAAAAAAAAAAGCACTAAATTTCAAAGATTTTTGAATATTTCTTTTCAAAACCAAATAAGATGAACAAAAGTATCTTATACGGTATTTACAACAGCGATGCTAGTTGTACCACTAATGCACAGCTTTTGGAAAAGAGTATGACTACATCTTCCTATCACTAGTAGTATTCTTTCTGGGGAAATAATGTTTTTGACAAAGTATGTGTCAAAATCAATGGGTATTTCATCCAAGAACATACCATATTTTTACTATAAAATGAGGCAAAGTTTGTTGAGGAGACCAGCAGGTCATGGTAACCTTTGGAGTATAGCAGATGTCACTATTTTTTCTGAAATTGCAGAGTTTTAAGGTGCTGTGGTTAGACTTGCCAATTTAGATAACTTCATACCGCAGTATGACAGAGATCATCGTAATGGTCATATCACAGGGCAAAACTTATTGAATGGTTGGAAAGATAATGCTTGCTTTAGAGAAACAGTTTGAGAGTGGTACGGGCATCTGTACCCATATTCATTTATCACTTACCACTTCCTAACATTTCACAACTTGCAATAAGCTTCCTGGTCGTATGTGGGAGTAACAGTGTTCAGTGGTGTTGTCAGGGGCAGACACTGCAGAAGGGTCTGTTTAGGCTGTATTCCTTTGTCACTGGCACAGTATGGCAGAATATGGTGGGTTTTTGTATGTTTTTTTTTTTCTTTCTGTTTCTGACTTTCATTTCTCTTCCTATCAAAAATCACTTTAATTGAACATGAACAAAAACAGCAGCTCTGTCTGCCTTCATCGGAATGGCAAAGCTTAACCAATTACACTAGCATCAAAACCAATCAATTTCAGGATTCTCCATTAGGTAGCACATGCAGCAAGCCTTAGAAAGTAAGGTTTGTTTGTTTCTCATTCAAAAGCATATGGAAGATATTAAGTAAAAGAAAAATCTGATCTTAGAGATTACACACAATACGTCATGCTCAAAAACTGTCCCCAGCTTTACCTAATAACCTTGATAAATGACTTCCATGAGTATCATGATTTTATATAATTACTTCAGCCCGTGAGGGCAGAAAAAGAAGAGGTTTGTCTTGCACCAGGACAGTGCATTAAGGCTGTTCTTGGGCTTATTTTTTTTTTTTTTTTCTTACTTTCAGAACCATCAGTATATTTTATTGCTAGGACTTTTCATAATAAATCGCATAGGCATAGTTTGGTTTTCATCAAATTCAAAGGATAAGTTCCAGGGTCCAACCGTATTTATGAAGGATGCTTTTCTGCAGGCTATGATGTTTATGGCTGTTTATTTTTTATGCTGCAAAGATAGATACTGGAACAGCTGTGGAAAAAAAATGACTTTTTTCTTCCAAAAGTGCAGTGATTGATGATGGAACCCCAGGGATTACAGAAGGGCTGTGTGATCTATTAATAATATTTTGGTAACATTAATTATCACAAGCATCAGTACAGAGTGAAGTTTCCATGCCACCTATCCTATTTCTCATAAGGAGAGCCCGTGCCTCTCTCAGCATGACTGGTAGTGGAGACATTTTTTCCTTCCTGTGCTCCTCTTCTTAGTTCTCCCACACCTTCAGGTCAGTGATTTTTCATCCCTCAGGAGTTCACACTGCTAGAAAGGAAACATCATATTATGAGCTTCCAGGCTCCAGGAGCAGGGTGACATGCTTACAAAGGCTGCAACCACCAGGGAATACAGTGGCAATATGGTTTTCCTCTCTGTTTATTCAGTGGATTGCTGTTTCTCCACTGCCTGCTTCTCAGTGGTCACTGCCCTGCCCAGAGCTGGTGCTCCTTGCTGCCTGATCAAGGCACTGCCCAATAGGACTGCAGCTGATGCAGATGTATGGGATATATACCTCTATCTCAGCCACTGCTGTTGAAATGCTCTGGAGGACCACCTTGGCTCCAATCTCTTCCCCTGTATAAATATACTGTAGTGTCAGCCTATGCTGAGTTTTTGGTGTGCTAGAATCCGCTGGCTTGGCTGGCCTGGGAGTGACCCATCTGAGGTGGCACATCCTAATAGCCTCCTGTGTCCTTCACTGCAGAAAGAAGAGGGACAAGTGACAGCCATTAACAAGGGGTATGCTTTGACATTTCCAACTGTCAGCTTTGTCTGTGATAATATTTTACACAACTACAAAAACCAAACAAGTATTTTCCTCGTGTGAGTCAAACCAGAAGAGTTTTAACATACATCATATATAATTATCAGCTGAGAGGATTCTTCCCTCCCTTCTTTTATTAGAAGGGACGAACCCCATATGACTATGTTCCCTTATTATTTGAACTCCAGTGGAACTGGCATCTGGCATTGTCTGATTCCATTCAGCAGATGCTAACAAAACAAAACTTCTATCATCTTCATTATTTAGACTTTTCCTCACAGTAGAAATTGTTCAGTAGCAGTTTAACTGGCCTAAGGACTGGGGATTTAATGTGCTCTTCGAAGATTGATCTTTATGTGCTTTGTTTCCTAGCATATTTGTGTATGTACCTGCCTACCTACATAGAATAATGATACCATTCTCATGAAAATGCCACTGGACACTGTGGTCAGATGCATCTTCACAAGATCTATAGACGTGTGCATAGGAGAGAGCATCATGCTGCCAGTCACTTGTACGTGGAACGCTTTGGAGCGCTTGCTTCAGCTCCAGCTGGATTAGGACCACTCAACAAGCATGGGGTAGGAGGGATCCTTGTGCTTTGATTTTTTTTCCCAGGCAGGAGAAGTGTTAAATATGCTTCATTTTTTCCTCTCTCCCTCTTTTGGGAAATGCCTGACTTAATTTGTTCCTTCTACTATCTTCTTCCTCCATATTCTTTGCTGATACGGAGTCTGAGGTGTACTGGCTGCTTAAAGAAGATGGAAGGTAGGGAAAACATTTTATTTTTATCGAACATGTCGGAGGAAAGATGCTGACATTTTGGAGACGTCAAACTCTAATGAGTATGATTGTTCTGCAAATAAAAGGTAAACGCACATTATCCCACCACTGATTGTAAACAAATTTTTAGACGTCACAGGAATAAAGCAGGTCAGTAGTTGTCTTCATTTAATTTCCTACTGCCAAATTACAATTTCATGTTTTGATCAGTATAAATAGTGGGGGCACAGATATTAACTCCATCCAGGCAAATGGACAGGGCTCTCATAAAATCACTGGCACACAGAGTAATCTTTGTGAGCTTCTGAAACTTACCCAAAGGACTTACCCAAACATTTCTGTGTGTCACACACAGTAAAAGTGAGTAGAATTTAATTTGAAAAGAGTCATCACTGAATAAAGCTTTATACTATAGAAACAGTCCTAAATGTAGCAGGAAAAAAATGGTTGAAATTTTGAAAGTATATAAAGAAATGAAGAAATTAACTACGAATTGCAAATAGGAAGGAAGGTAACAGTAAAAATAAAAAATACATTATAAGAAACCTGGAATAAATAGTAGAAGATGAAACGATGCAACTCTTACACCATTTGGCTACATTACATGGTAAAGTAAGGTTAAATGACACATCACAGTGGCAAGAAAATGTGTGTTGGGCATAATTTGCTGTAACTTTTATAAAACTGCATCCTAGTGTTCTCAGTGAGGATCTAGTTGTGTTTTGTTTTGTTTTTTTACTTAAGCTTATCTAACAAGAATAACCGTATTTTCAAATTAAACAATTTTAAACTTTTAAAAAGCTACTTAGAATGTATTGTTTCAATATCCTGCACTCTTTGTACTTGATGTACTGTAGGTTGTTAGGAGATAATAATCTGCAAAATGCAATAGTCAGTGTCCAGGCAGAAACTATTTAAGTGTACCACTAGTGAAAACAAAGAATGATGGGTTACAGGGGACTAGACTTCAGGGAAATACCTTAATGACAGTAACAATGATATTACCAACTAGTATGTAATAATCTCCTCACCCAGTGACAGCCTGAGCCTCAAAGGTCTCAAAACTGTAACGTTAGAATAATTTGAGTGTTCCTTCAAACACATGGAAGCCTGGCTGCTTCCATTTTTAACGACTATACGGAAAAGAAGTATCCCAAGGCAAAAAATAACAACCAAAAATAAAAAATCACGAGCCTTCCCATCCACTCATTTACAAAAACAATAACTTCATTTTTCAGACTGGAAATGCTTTATTAAAGAGACTATCAGATTGGGAATTCAAATAGAGAAAAAGGAAGAATCACCACCTAGACCCTTGGAGAAGTTTGACTGAGAAGTCAGAGTTGAGGCTTTGTACACTTATTGAACCCTAAGGGCAGAGGTGGGTTATGAAATTAGAGTAACCCATGGGAAATATATGTGTATATATAGATAATTTTTTTTCCATTTCTGCTATGAAATGTATTGTGACCTAGGGAAGATGCATGTGATTTAAGTGTGGGAGAAAAAAGACCTGTCTGGTTAAAGAGGAGATGATAAATTTGGGGCTGATAGCATGTGTAGGTATGTGCACCTGGGCAGGTGTATCTTAAAGCTGTTGACCTAAAGCAAAAGGGTCATCTATGATGAAATGCATCAAGATTTTGCTTTCTGGCAAAAGAAAAGAAAAAAAATCCTGCTCTCTTCCCATTTTCTTTTTCTTTCCACTACCAGTTTCTTAGATCATGAAGTCTCGTGCTGATCAGAAATGTGCTACACATTCATGGGAGCCATCAGTGCAAACACAAAGGCATAGCTATATGTAAGTATGGCTGAAAATTCCGTAAAATGACAAGCCAGAGTGAAAACTCTAAGGTAAGGTAATCAGAGATGTGTTGCATTGGGTAAACAGGATGAGACAGAAACAATCTCAATAACAACTGCCCCCAAACTCATTTCAGGGAATAGGGCAACCTGGGAAGAAGCAGCAAAAGATGGTGTAAATGTATTGAAAATTATGAGTTGAAGAACAAGGGAAAAATATTTCTCTAGTCCCATCCAGAAACAGACTTTCTGTTAATTTAGGAAACAGTCAAAGTTGGCACTGAAGTAGTCTCAACACGTAACTTAGTAACGTATTTTATTATAATTAGATGTATGATTGTTAATACTGATAAGTCTAGGTATTCTCACAGTTATGACTCATTTTATATTTTGTATATTTCCAAAGTACAGACTGGCAGTATTTCAGGTAATGGAATTTGTACTCTGGTTTTGTACACTGGGCATGATTTCCTATGTGCAACAGATAGAAGAACATTATAATAATACACTCATACAGTCTGGCCAATGCACATGCAACCTTAGAACTACCCGCTCACATGAGGTGCCACTAATCACAACCAAATCAGACTAATTAAGCTTAATACAGTTCATACAGCTATATGCATTAGTATGCACAAAAGCCAAATTATTTTACCTTGAGGCTCATAAAATTAAAGTATTTGGCAACATGGAATAAGGGACATTAGATCAGTTTTTATGCTGTTGTTAAGGAAACCATAGAGGATGGGATTCAAGCAGCAGGACATCATGCCAAGTAGATGACATACGCAGTACACTAATTTAAAATGTCTGTTTGAAATGAGAGTGGCATTAAAATCCGTCACAATGTGGAAAAGGTGAAGAGGCATCCAACTAAAGCCAAAAACTAGGATTAGCACTGTCAGTCTGCAAAACACTCTCCTGGACCTTGTTTTAATTCTGATGATGGATTGGGATACCGTAATCATGTCCTGGATCTCTGTATTTTCCTCTGGTTTCATCTCAAAACAGACTGGTACCCCTGGGATGAATTTACTAGCGGAAGAAAGCTGGCTTTTTTCTGTGCCAGAGGTTTCTGGGAGGTCTCTGAAGTCAGCATCCTGATGCTGCCTTAGAATAGCTGGCATCACAGTTGATGTCTTTTTGCTGTACCTTCTGTGGTGCTTTCGGACCAGGGCACAGCTCCAGCTGGTGTGGCTGGAGGGCTGTGCCTCAGTGCCCGTGCTCTTGGATGGGTGAAGGGTGAGGTTTATCATCTCTTTTTCTTGGAACTTGCCCTCTTTGCTGGACAGCCGGGAACCTACACTCCTGCAGACACTGGTGTGACTAGCAGTTAAGCATACCAGTGGCAGTATGTACTGCATGAGCAGTAAGGATATGGTAAAGGCAATTCTGTATGAGTCAGAAGGCCATGACTCGATACATAAGAGCCTGTTCTCCAGTGCCTCTAAATTGAGGCTTTTGTGGAGGTCCACAATTTTGTGGAAAACTGGAAGAGGGGAGCAAATGGCACAGCCAACGGCCCAAATGATAACTATTAAGAAATAGCCGTGCTTTGCCGTTAAGTTGCTGGAGAGGGGATATTTTATCATACGGTATCGGACTGCAGCAATAGATATTAGCATTAAAGTTGAAACCAGAACAGATGTACATTGCAGGAAGGGCATTATGTGGCACATAACAGTGCCAAACATCCACCGGTCGAGCAGGACAGACGTCAGCGTGAAAGGAGAACAAAACAGCACGACTAAGATGTCAGAAAAGGCCAGGTTACCGATGAGAATGTTTATTATTGTCTTCTGCTTGCGTTTTGTTAGAGCTGTTAGTACAAGCAGGTTTCCCACAAAGCCAGCCAGACTTATAAGTGTGTACAGCCCAATAAGAAAGTACTGTATGTCATCGACACTGCTCTTGTAGTCCTCCCAGGCAGAAAAATTCTTTGCAGTAGCAGAAGTGTTCTTGGTAGGTGTCCTGTTGGCATAGTCTTTGAGTCCTAAATCCATTTTATAGTCCTGCTTAGAACAAGAAAGGCACTGATTAGCAACTGAAGGAAATATGATGCTGATGTACAGTAGACTGTACGGAAATGTAATTTTACTTTGTTTCATCTTAATGCAAGTGAATTAATAGAGGTGTTATTACACTGTAAGGCGATGGCATAACTTCTGGTTAATGCAAATTCCTTTGGTGGGTTTTATCATATGGCATTCAGTGCACCTAGATCTGCTCACATCAAAGTCCTGGGGAGGGGCAGATAGTGACACAGAATGAAGGGAAACAGCTTTAAATTGGAAGAGGGTAGATATAGACTAGATATTAGGAAGAAATTCTTTACTGTGAGGGTGGGGAGACACAGGAACAGGTTGCCCAGTGAGGTTGTGGATGCCCCCTCCCTGGAAGCATTCAAGGCCAGGCTGGATGAGGCTGTGAGCAACCTGGTCTAGTGGGAGGCTTCCCTGCCTGTCGCTGGGGTTGGAATTAGATGATCTTAAAGGGCCCTTCCAACCCAAACCATTCTATGATTAGACAATTACAACTTTAAAGACTGGCATTATGAAGTTGGTTTTTAGCTGTGCTTTGCTATAGACCATACTGCCAGGCTTTTTGTGAAGAACAGTCAGCTACAGAAGCACTCCATTTACAGTCAGTGAGATTACTCATGTGAATAACAGCTCATTGATATGAGCAAGGAAATTACAAGTACCATCTGGGCATGTGCCTAGTCATTACATGACAGCAAACTATAATGAGAGCACCTGAAAACGTATGAAGTTTTGACACACGTTAGCAACTGCAGTAGTATTTCTTCCCTTGCTAGCAGAAAATTGACACAAAGTAGGTAAGAGCTTTCAAAGATGATCAATTTCTAAGGAGATCTACTGTCAGCACCCCAAGATGGGGTTCCTAGTATGGTGCATCTACCTGCCATCCTCTACAAAGTATTGAACATATTTTAACTAGCACTCGTGTAGAAGGGAAAACTGTGTCCAAATCACCCAACAAAGTAATTTTACTTAAAACTGGGGGCACGGTTTGTACTACATGCAAACCCCGCCCAATCACTGGAAAATTTAAGGAATTGCTAAGCATAAAAGCATCCAACACTGTCCTAGCTCAGCACAAAGTTACTGTATATACACAATCTTGATGTGATTCGTCTTCATGTTAGAGGAAAAACAGTCAAATTCACTTTAACTTAAAAACCTGCTTATATAGAAGGTTTGAAGTATAAAACCCCCTAAGCGCCAGCTCAAGTTCTAAACCTAATGTTTAGAAATCTTAAGACAAAAGATCAAAACAAAACCAAAATAGGCATTTTTAGGAAATGGCTTTTTTTTTCTTTTTCCTTTTGAGGAAAGGGCTAAATTTGGCAACCAAAAGAAGGTAGGTCTCCTTGGGAATGCAGCCGTTCCCAGTGGACTGTATCATGCCGTCTTCAAAGCACAGTAACATTATTGATTTCCTCTTTGCAGCTGTGCTCCTTCCTTTACACCACCAGTTGTGTGCTCCCACTACCTGTGGCCACTGGGGAACTAAACCATCCAACGCCCTCAGAACATTCCTTGACAGTGCTTTGGGATGTAACTCCTGTACCTGTAATCTCAGGTGAGACGAGAAATACTTAAAAAATATGAGGAAGATATGGCAAGTTTTCATGGCTTCGCTGCTGTGTGAGAACTAAGCCTTGCCAACTTCTCACAACGTTGAGCTGAAGTGCTTTTTGAGAACAACTCATTTAACAGGTGATTAACACTACCTGAAACTACCCTTCCCTCAACCGTCTTTAAAGGAAGCAGACCAAAGGCTCTGTAAGTGACCCAACATCTCTCTATTTTGATACTGATATTACCAGCAGTTTTCAGTTTGGTAGCATTCTCTTTATAGAACTACTAGCTAAAAAATTACGTAGCTTTTTATTTATTTATTTTTTCCCTGAGTCTCTGCGTTGCCAGCAGTCATCTGAAAACAATATGATCTGATCTGCAGACAACAGGGACTTTCACAACCACCTGAAATTTCTTTCAACTCTCTAAACGTGAGCAAACTTAAGGAATAAACTCGAGCATGTCTGTACCTTTGATAAAATACATAGCCCTACCTCAGCCCTACAGAATTACATATCTCGTGTCACATATCTTTCTTATATTCAGCATGGAAGATGCATGGCTTTGGATGATGACTGATGTTTTTGCTGATTTCGGAGTGTACATGCAGCTGTAACCTGCAGACTCTTTTTGGATTCGTGAAAGCCATTTCAACTGTACATTGCATTTCCATATGAAATACTACCTGACTAACATTTTCAGGGTGAACAACCCATTATCTTCGTACAAAAGCATTCACGTTGGCTGAGAAGCGTGTAGGAAAAACCCTTCCAGCTGAGGAGTTAATAATGAAAAAGCCATTGGTGTAATTCTAGATAATTTTCTTTTTGCTTGCCTTCCTTTTGCCTTCCTTTTCCAGTTTATATCTTGCGCAAATGAAGAGAACATCATAAGCTGAACATGTCTTTGACCGCTTGCAGATACAAAACGAAGCAGGAGTTATCTGAGAAAGGGAAATGAACCTTTAGTCAAGAGCTAGACCTGTCCAAATCTTGCTTACTAACCACACAGTCATTTCCTGAGAATAGGAAGACTAACAGGAAAGAGGGAAGGAATCCAGTAGCAAATTGATATTTAAAGAAAACACACATTTTTAAAATGCTATTGAGTTGATGAAGACTTTGAAGGAAGAAGCTTTCCATTTATTTTGCTTGCTTACATATGTAACTCTTAGCCAAGAAAGACCATTCTGTATTTTCTTCTATTTTAACTGGCATTAGGCAGAAAAAAGCAGAAAGGAGCTGCACATGTTTCTTCTCTCTACAAAACCTGGAGAGAGAAGACTGCTTTTATAGTATCTACAGGTGTTTTCAGTAATGATTAAACTCTCATGGAGTCATACCTGTCCAGAAGTCATACTGAATAGCAACAGTGCACGCTGGTATTTAGTTAAAATAGTAAGTTCATTTAAAACAATAGGCTTCCAAGGACAGTTACACATGTGTGAAAGTTTTGTTGATCCACGTGCCAAAACTGCAATTCCCTTTCTGGAATTTTTGGTGAAATTGTCATTGACAGGTTTTGTCAGCGTGTGGAAACTTATTTAATCTCCTATATTCAGTGGGCATAATGCTAAGGCTAGGGTCAAGGAGCAAAACTTTGTCTGTGTTGTTACGCTGGAAGATGTTTATTAAATGAAAGTTTACTTCTTAAAATTTTAATTAGAAGACTGTTGGCGGATTCTGTGCATTTCTGCCTTCACTTCAATATCCTGCAGTATGGTTTTAGCTCAGCTGCTAATCATGTTTCTAAGGTAATTCTTGACAAAACTGGAAGTATGCTATTTTTTTGTTGAAGACAAAATACTTTGCTTCAAGGGACCTGCTTCAGCACAGGGTTGGACTAGATGATCTCCAGAGGTCTCTCCTACCCACTGCGATTCTGTTACTCTTGATTGACACTGAAAAAGCTTCACAGGGGTGCCTATGAAGTCCAGGCAGGGATCACCAGCCACGTCCTGCCTGCACTGTGCTGCCTTGTGCATCGGCTGAGAGCTCTGTAGGCACCACACATCCTGCTGTCCACAAGGAAGGGGCTACTGGCAGCATACGTGCCTCTCATGTGTTTGATTTACAGTCCCCAGTCTAACACTAGCACAACAATGACTTCACAGGGATCTAGATGTTTACTGGCATTTATGTTCCTGCTTTTTATTTTTTTATTTTTTAGGGATTCATCCACCCTCCTCCCATCAGTTGGCCAACCACGATGTGGCATGTTTCACGTAGCTTCTCAGTGCAACGAGGATTCCTGAAAAGCCCGTTGTGGGGAATAGAATTAAATGATTTAGCCTCTTTTGATAACATTGTCCTCGTTTTTGAAGTGTATTTCTACACTGAAGGCACGACGGTGCCCAAGTGTTCTGGTACTCCAGGTCAAATTTAATCAGTCTGTAGGTACCCAACTGCAGTTGATCTAAGGTTTGCAAGTGACAGGCAGAACTTAAAACATTTCTCAGTTTTAGCTGAATTAAGATACCAGATAACCTAAAATGTACTAGTTTGATATTTTAAATCTTCCAATTCGTCTCCTTATTTCACTTAAAGCTGCTGTTTAAAATACAATCCCCATAAGCCACCATTCAGCAGAATGAATACACAAGCTATCCCTGGTATTATTTTACATGCTTAAGGGGAGATTTTCAAGAACATGAAAGTTAGGCAGGCAATCTTACTCCCCTGAAGGTAAATTGGCCTTTCAGAAGATCTTCCTTCAACACTGTGTGTTGTTTATATCAAGACTTGTTTACAGACAACATCTCGTGTCCCACAATATTACTACCCATCATATTGTACTGGCTGGTGGCAGTACAGTCTGTTCAGTCCTGTTCAGAGTGCCTGCACAGGACCATTCATCTCCATTGCTGAGAACAATTTATAAGCTTGGAAGTCCTTCCTCAACCTTGAAAACAAAAATGTACAAGGAGAAAGCAAAATACAAAGTGTCCCTGTGGAACACGGCCCCTGTCATACAGGAATGTGTAGGAAAACAAAGTCAGTCTTATTCTTGACTCACACAGGGTTGAACGAGACAGGCTGTGCCCACCTGGCCACCGGAGCTTAAGGGAAGCACTGACCTGAGAGACGATGCCCTCATCTCAGCACAGACTGAATTGAAAACCCCAAATCGAAGCTGGTGAACTCATGTTTACAACAAAGGCTGAAGAGTGACTGTAGCTGCTCAGCACAAGCTGGTCTGGGAGCCAGCAGAGTTCTGAAGACTGACATCACCAGTCCAAAAAAACGGGTTGTGGTGCCATGCTATGCCTCTTTATACGCCCAACTTAAGCAAAGATTGCAGCGCCGGTCTGGAAAAAGAGAACATGGCTTCCCAAAACAAACCAACCCCATCTAACGAGATTATTTCCGCAGCTCCAAGGAAGCACGGGCAGATCAGAAAACTTGCAACGCACTGCCGCAGAACGGACCAGCAGCGGGCGGGACGGGCTCTGCTTTACCATTCCCACATCCCTCTCCAGCCCGCCTGGAAACGATGCCTTTCCTGGCAACCCGCATCCTGGGACGGGACAAGGGGCGAAATTCCCCGCGCAAAACTCCGCGGCCGTTCCGCGCCCCGCGCCGATGCCGCGCTCACCTGCAGCCGCGGGGAAGCCGCCCCGCGCCTCGGGCTCCGGCGAAGCTCATAGCCCCGGGGCTGAGCTCCTCGCCACGCTCCGTCCGAGCCGCTCTGCGCGGCCGCGCATCTTAAGGGGGGACTGCGGGGACTGCGGGAGCGGCGGCTCGGGCCGCTGTGCCGGCGTTGAGGCTGCGGCTGCGGCGCGGGTGCATTTCGGGAGAGCGTTCCGTGCGGGGCCGGAGTCTGTTATTGCCCTATTGCATGCTATGACAATTAGAGTTTCCATGGAAATACAGTGAGACTGTAAACAAACCCAAGGCTCGATAGTATCGAAGGGATGCGTGCACTTTTCTTTTTTTTTTTTTCCTTCCTCCTTGCCCCCCACCCCAACGCTGTCTTGTTGTGGGCCTGCCCGGAGCTGGGCCATCTCTGGGGGCTGCCCTGAACACCTTGCTGCTCCCCTCCCCTTGGCTGGAGCTCAGCTTTGGTGGCATTTATCCACCGTTATTTTAGAACGGGTGGGAGGTGATGGATTTCCCCATCAGCTTTCCACTCGGAGGTGAGTAACTCAGTTTGCCCAGACACAGATATCTAAAGGGTGGTTTTAATTTGTTCTGGGCCATCAGTGGGAAGGCAGGATGCTTTCCTTCTTTTTCTTTTTCTTTTTCTTTTTTTTTTTTTTTTCTTTTGAGTGAACGATATTTTACAGTCTAAAAATGGTTGGGTATGTCACAGCCCAACAGATGAAGAGCAATTCTGTCACTTGCACCAGCTGCTATCTTCGCATTGATCACAGCCCAATTACAGGGCTACTGGAGAACAGAGTGACGTGTGGGTCTTTGGGAGCACAGGTGGCAGAATGTGACACGGGAATGTAATGACTTTTCCATTTGCAGAGGCACTCCTTAGACAGTTGATATTAACAGAGTATTGCAGAGAAGCTGTCAGTATAATTAGCCGGTGAAAAAGTGCTCTACACAAAGGCGTGCCAGCTGGATCAACCGACTCGTAAAATAGCTTCACCACCCTGAAAGTCCAGCTAGATTCCTTATTTAATTGGGTTTTTAAAGCACACGTTCTAAGGTGAGGGCTAAGGGAACAGTCAGCTTCACTCTTCATGGGACGGGCTCGGTACGGCAAGGAAGATCACGTCCCATATTCTTTTCATCCGCTCCTGCCTTATTCACCACCCACTGCTGGTGAATCACTGCATGTGCAAGTGGAGCGAGGGGAGCTGCCAAGTGGAAGTGACGTGCCAATCCAGCTCATCATTTAAAGACAGCTCTCCTGTTAGTCATAAACGAGAACTAAATTAATCATTTTTAGGGCCGGGCAGCAGTTCCTAACATTTTTGACCGTCTTCTTACCTAACACTGGTGCTTGGAAAGTTTTCACACTAGAGACAGAAACCCAACCTTGTTCTGACCTGCTGTTTAAGACCATCTCCCAGAGCATCTGTTTAACAGGGTGCTCCCGTTCCAAGGCAGTTCTCCAGACTGCTGACCCTGCTTGACATGGAAGCTCCTTCCTGGAAAGAGAAAAGATTTTGAGGCACTGAACCTTTCCATGAAAACTTTTGGCTATAGCAAACTATAGCAAAGAAACCAACCTGCATTTGCTGGCAAAGCCCACAGATGAGAATTTGCATCCCATAGCTATAATTTACATAGGATACCATTGTTACTTTGTGAGGTTAAAAAAAACCTTTCCTCTGTGCTGACCACTTCTAAGGTAGGCTGTCACTTCCTACGGTTTCCCAAGCAATCACCATTACATGCTTCCTGGTAAAAGCGGTCAGTCAGACAAGTGGCTACTCCTAAGAACAAAATATCTTGTTCCTTTTGTTGGGTTATTTCAGAAGAGTTCATCAACCAGCGATGCACTGCAGATGTGGGCTTTTTCTTTTTCTTTTTCTTTTTCTTTTTCTTTTTCTTTTTCTTTTTCTTTTTCTTCTTCTTCTTCTTCTTCTTCTTCTTCTTCTTCTTCTTCTTCTTTTCCTTTTCCTTTTCCTTTTCCTTTTCCTTTTCCTTTTTCTTTTCTTCTTTTTTTTTCTTTTTCTTTTTTTTAAACCTCAGGCCTGTAAACAACACCAGATTTCTCACAGCTGTATTTGGACAGTTAATTGGTGACACTTGTGTATGTCAGAGGCAATTATTATTCAAGCCATTAGCATTTTTTTTCTCCTTTTTAGTGGTTGTGAACCTCAGAACTGCCAGTAATAGTACTGAATAATAAAATAGGTGATGTAGAGGTAGGAAAGGTGCTGACATTAGAGATGTGTCAGACTGGCAACAGATGATGGTATAAGTTCCCTAGAAATTAACCTCTGTAGGGTTGTTGAAACCATGGAGGAGTCCTTGACAAAGTCAGAGATGATGATGATGGAGGAGCTGGCAAAGAAACCAGCGTGTCAGTGGGAGATCTGTGAGTCAGAAGGGTACAACAGCAAATACAGGACAGAAGTCTGCCATTATATGGAATACAAATTGATGCTGGCGTGCTTCTTCTCTCATAATCCTGAGGGAAATGTACTTTTGAGAGTCATCCTAATATCTTTGAAAATTTAGCTTCTAAATGTTAGCTGTTAAAGACATGAAGACACAAAGCTCCAACTGAAGTCAATGAGAACCGATGAATGCCATTGAAAAATCAAGTCCAAAGCCACCTAACTTTGAAATTCTGCAGTGTGCAATTGGTTGCCCTGAATCAAAACTGGCTGTGAGCCAGAGTCCAATGTTAATGTGAAGTCTGATGCCAGCAGAGCTACCATCCATCAGCAAGAGAGCCTAAAATGGTAGGATGTAACTACTACAGAGTTTAAGGCATTTTGTGAGGTACCTATAAAGCATTCTTATTGGGTGGAACTTTCTCCACGCATCCACCCAGCAATTCATAGAACCACAGAGTCAAAAGGGACCTTTACAGGTCCTCTACTCCAACTCCCCTGCAATCAACAGGGACACCTGCAGCTCCATCAGGTGCTCAGAGCCCTATCCAGCCTGACCTTGGAAAGACAGGGTACCCAGCACCTCTCTGGGCAGCCTGTGACACTGCCTTTTTGTCACCACCCTGATTGTAAAAAAATCTTCTCCCTTATATCCACATCCCCCCCTTTTCAATATTCACCCTATTCATGTGACAAATACTTTTAAAAAATACCAGTTACGTTTTTATTCTATGGATATATTTTTGGCCAGTCCCTTCCACAGGTTCTTATCTCGTGTAAAGCAGTTGGGCGTGCAGGCAGTGAGGAGTGGACTAATGAAAATGTTGTACCAGTTGAGGTGTCTGCAAGGAGACAGGATATCTGTTGGGTAGGTAATAGAACACTTCTGAGGGTGAACGATTTTGTTACCTAACGGGTCTCATCACTTTTGCTGGCTGGTGCTATACCACTGTCTGTTGAGCATGCTGAAGCACAGAGCCTATTTCTGCTCTGTTTGAAGCCAGCTGGACGCTCATACATGACTTCAAGGGGCTACAGCAGAAGACATGACTTAGTATTTTAGCCAGGTAGCCATAATTTAAGTTACATCTCAATCGGTCTTTAAGCAACGTTGCATATAATCGGGGCAGCTTCGCACTGGTTAGCTTGACTTCATCACCCAAAGCAGAACTGGAGCAGCAAGACACTCAGACCAGATTAACCACGTAATTATTCATGCAGCTTCTTTGTGTTAGTGACATTAGCAGTCAAATGAAGTGTTGTTATGTTTGGTGTCAGTTGCAGTCATTGCAGAATAAACATGCTCTTAGCCAAACGGAGAATTTGCACTCAATGGCAAAACATCTATTTATTCTACTGATGACAGACTGTTGCCCCCAAGGAGAATGAGTTCCCCGATGTGAAATGAAAGCCTTTCAATGATGCCACAGTTCATTAGAAGAAAATGAGAACAATAAAAATAAACAATAAAAGTAGAAGTAAAATCAAAGAAACAAAACTCCTTTGTTTCCATCCAAAATAGTGGTGACTTCAGTTTGTTTTATGCGCAGCAGGAACCTCAAGCAAATCTCAAGGAGTTCTTTTACTCTGTGGATTTTAAGTTTTAGGGAGAGATGGTGCTGGCTGAGCACATGACAATATATACTGTAGTGAAAGTGTCATCCTCATTTTATGATCTATTTTCTGTTACATTTTTTGGGAGCTGGAGGAAGAGTATCTTAATGGGTTGATTTCCTGGCATATTTTCCCAGGAGTTTCTTCAACACCTCTTGTTTCCCTCTCAATGTATTGCTTCAAAGAAATGCTCTATTCTTTTACTCATGCTGTTCTATTTGCTCAGTTAAGATTCTTGCATTCTTTCTATTGTATTTATTCTCTTTTCACAACAGTCGTGTCTTCATTCAAACACAGTCTTCCAGCCTGCATTGTCTGTGATGCACTGAAATAACATACTCCAGGGAGGAGGATAATCTCTAACACTATGGCTATTTTGCTATTCTTTTGTCCTGGCAATGACTAGCAACACAACAAGGCTTGCTGAGGAGTTACCTGGTGTTTTTGTGTGCTTGGTGCTCCAGTTGGAAATGCTCAACTTGGTGCTGGGCATGCATGGAAGAGCCAAGAACTTAGAATCCCAGAATGGCCAGGGTTGGAAGGGACCTCAAGGATGATGAATCTCCAACCCCCTGCCACATGCAGGGCCACCAACCTCCCCATTTCATACCAGCCCAGGCTGCCCAGGGCCCCATCCAACCTGGCCTTGAACACCTCCAGGGATGGACGGGGCATCACAGCCTCTCTGGGCAGCTGTTCCAGCACCTCATCGCTCTCTGTAAAGAACTTCCCCATCACATCCAACCTAAAGCGCTAAAATCTGAGCTTCCTTCACAACTTCCCTGACGCTATGTGGCATTTACTGCACAGCGTGCATTTTGTATAGCTGTAATGGAAAACCTTTGAAAAAGAACACATCTGTTTGTTAGAGTGATTGTTTATAAGTGTGTTTTAATTCTCACTTTTATAGGAAATGCTTTGGTGAAGGTTGGTGTAGCTCCAACAGATTCAGTCATCTGAGGTGAGCACAGAGCAGAGGGCAAGTATGGCAGAGCAGGAGCTTTGCAGTAAAACCTTGTTGTGGCACATACATATATAGCATATATGTCTGAAAGATTCAGTGACTCACACAGCCCTTTCCATTGTTCCACTGCTCTGCTTGAAGCATCCATCTGCACTGCAAATAACTCCATGAACGCCCGATCCCCTCACTGTGAGCTCAGGTCACTGAGTGACACCCAGGATCCATCTTCAATCTCTCACAGTTGATAACCATGTTACATTGTGAGGTCCACATCCATACCAATGAGTGTCTTCAGCTCTCCACGTAATGGAGAAAATGCTACTGACTCAGGCAGAAATACACTCTTTATGGGATGCTCAGCACCAGCTTATACCTTTGCGTTGTCTGCCTGTATCCAACATTGCTGTGCTCAGACAGACATGGTGCACAGGAATTAACCAACATGTGTCTGCAATCCTCAAGAGGCTTAACATACAGCCTGCACTTACCTCTTGGTTGCTGGGGGTCACTGTCAACAGAGCCCAGGTTTGGAGCAACCTGGAGGTTTGGCCACACTTTCCTTCCTCACAGGAGGGCTGCAGGTTTGATGCAGCTGAGCTGAGCTTCTGGAAATACAAGATATACACAAATTCTGTAGCATTCCCACAAGACTTACTCTGCAAAACATATTACAACCATTTATTACGTGCAGCTGTTATTTCTTTTTGGTAATAATACAGTTACTCTCCTGAGACCTATCCTCAACATAACAGAGTTGTCCTGTAAATGGGATATTGCAACTTCAACAAGTCCTTTCTCTTGAAAGATTAATCTGGAGCCTTGAAGGAGTCAGGGCACCTTTGCTTTCCACAAATTCCGAGATCACAGTGCAGCCTGTTTGAGCGGGCATTCATACCTGAATTGATCCAGGTAACTTTTCTTGGACTTCTGTACTGGCTTCTAAACCCACCGTTTGTTTTTTTATATATTTTTGGGGGGGCTATTAAAGTAGGTCTAGCAGCAGCAGTGCTTTCTGTGCACGAGAGAGAGAGATATTTCAGAACTATGAAAATAATGGAAAATAAAATGTTTGGTTTTCTTTTTTTTCATGGAAGCTGTTTATTAAGCAGCGCACTGACCTGCTATAGCCGCTAGTAGTCTGCAGGGCAACTCATATCGGCTGCATGAAAAAATCAGCTTGCCGGCAGCTAGAGGTTGTGCTGGTTCAAAGATCCAATGCCGAACTTCCTAACTGCTGCTCCATTTCTCTTTCCATCAGAGCTTTTCTTCCGGCTTGACTGGCCACACGGTGGCAATAACTTGCAAACAAAGCGCCGGAGCTGCCTGAGAGAGATGCAAAACTCTCCCGGAGCTCTTCTCTCTTCCCCTCCTCTTTTGTTTCAGTATTTAATTGCATGCATTTCAGGATTACTAGGCAACCCACCCCCAGATGTGTAATTGAAAGGTGATGTGCTTGCAGTGAGATTTTCGGGATCTGCTCGGCAGAGCCCCATCATGTGATGCTGGGATAAGGTGGAGTTCGGCTTTAAGGGGGAGTCTCCAGCCTTCCCCACCAATCTTTAGCATCTCAGCTGGAGGAACACCGGAGGATCTTTTCCCTTCCCCTATTCCTTCTTCTCCCTGCATCCCCCGAGAAGATCGCGGATAGGCGGAGCTGTTAGAAGGTGAGTTTCTCTGCGATCGCTTCCCGGTGCCGGCGCTGCTCGGGGCAGGGGACATAAGGTAGGGAGGAGCAGGTGCCAGGCTGGACTTGAGAGCTGCTGGGACTCGCAGTATTTTGGGGCTCCCTTTTGAAAAGCTCCAATAGCTTTTACAGCGAGTTGCCAGACAGCTCGCAGCGCGTTCTTTTACCCTTTCGATCCGTCGGTGCTAAACTTTTGACAGATAATCCTGGAGAGCCGGAGGGGCGGGTGTGTGCGGGAGGTGGGGAGACCCTGTGGGTCACAGCAGGGCTCTGCAGAGCTGCCAGCACCGCCAGCCCCCGGGATGGGAAGGGATGTCCCTGCTGGTAGGGGGCAGGGAGCAGCACCGTGCCCCAGGAGAGGCAACTGCATCGCTACCGACCGTTTTGGAAAGGTGGGCAGGACGCCTTGCTGCTTGTCAAACAGTGCTGTGCTTCTGAACTGGTTCCCAGCCGTGGTCCTACACTGCTCTCTCCTATGGGGAGAGGCAAGGGAAGGCGAGGAGCAGTGGCATTTTCTGGTTTTGAATTTGGTATTTAATAAATGAGCAAAAGCAGAGCTGTGGGCTTCTTAATGAGCAAGAAAAAGCAAGAGCTTGAAATCATGTCCTCTGCTTGCTGCATTGAGGTCCCAGTGTTGAGAAAACCTGCCCACTTCTCTCCTTGCGGGACGTGGTCCCTCACCCATTTTGCTCCTGCCATCAGCTCCAAGGGCTGCGCTGCCCATTTTGTGCTGTACAAGTAACAGGGACGTGGTTAAATCCACACGGTGTGATTTTCAGGCTGGAGTTAAAATCAAACCTGTTGGAAATTGAATCCGGACTCCACAGCACTCACACGCTTGTCCTGCAGATAAAGCACTTTCCTCTGACTCTGGTTGAAGTGGTGCTTCAGGAGGCCCTGGGGAAGCCTTTTTATTTGTTGGACCCCGAAACAGTCCACATGGCCTAGGGAGACCTGGTAAATTTAGTTAGCAGAGGCAGCAGAAATAATTCTCAGGTGCCTGCCCCAGCTAGCTAGAAAATCAGAACAGCCAAACTTCAAGCAGAGATGCGTTTTCTCTCAAGCCGTTGCTGTTAACTGTCAGTAAGATGTCACCCAGAGGCAGGCTGCGTTGCCTGTCGTGGTTCCATGTAGCCACAGAGGATCAGCAAAGCTGTCTGAGGTGATCTTGTGACACTTGAGACAAACGTGTCAGCATGGTTCTCTTTTCACTGACTCTCGGGAGGAACTGGAGGCACAAGTCCAGTAGGGACCAGTGGAAGGGATCTCTGCCACCAGCAACACGAGAGTCAGCTTAGGTGGCACCTAGATTTATATCCAGTATTTCAGAGGGAAGCTCATGAATTCTCACTTCCTCTGAAGCTCGTTTCAGTGAGCTCTGTTTTCACAGCTTTAGTGATTACTGCCATATGGAGCCAGGTTTAGAGCCCACTTATGTGAATTTTAAGTGGCATCACTTTCATTAGCATAACCTGAGGTTAAGTGAGCAATAAATTTAGCACATAAGAGAGGGTGTAGAGGGAAACTTCCAGATTGAAGGTGGCTGCTGCTAATAGTAAGTTGAACTGGGATTGTATCAGGTTATTTGATTTTTTTCATTTTTCTTTGTTTTCTTTTTTCTTCCTTAACACATACGCCTGAGTTTCTCTGATTTTAATATCAGAGGCCTTGCATAGGGGTGGTTATTTAGACATCACTATTTGTTTTACATGGGTGCGTGCTCTACGGTGTTTAATTTTTGCTGATTTTGTTTGTTTGTTTGTTTCTCATTTTGTTTTGTTCTTTCTTCATGGTGCAGTCCTGCTAGTTAAGATCAAGGTGTTCAGAGGTCCTGAATTGCCTTTGACTCAATGCTATTGCTGCTGTGAGCACTTGTGTAAAAGACCAAAGGAAAACACTTTCTGACAACTCAGACACTCAGCATCCTGCGTGCATTAGGTAAAAAAGAGCACAGCAATGTTTTGGTGTAGTTTTTCTACCCCTCAGGTGGAGTATAATTGCACTTAGAGCAGGCTGAGAAAGCAAATCTTTCCAGATTAAACTTGTAGGAACGAGATGTGAAGCATCATCAAACAAAGGCTACCCTGGTGTAAGACTGAAGTTGATTCACACCCTGTTGTTTTCTGTTGCTTGTGCTTATGAGGCAGTGCTGGGAAGGGCTGTGCCTGCAGACCCACATTTAGACTCTGGTTTCTTCCTTTCCCTGACTTGCAGCCCCTGCTCTCTCTTTGGATACCAGGCCAGGACCGCCAGTCTTCCCTTCCCCTTCCCATCTGGCCTGGTCCTGATCCCTGGCTCTAAAGTCCAGTGGTGCCAGGGGACTGGTGTGCTGAGGGTGGGTGACAGTCACAGCAGGGTTTTGGGGTGCTGGGGTAGCCTACATGCAAGAGGTGACCGGTCCTCTTCCTTCCCCCAGGTCTTGCCATGGAGATGCAGCATCGAGAAGTGGGCTCTGCAGAGGAGCTCCTCGTGGGCTGACTGACATATATTGAAGGTCAGGAGCGGTTTGGATGAGACCTGTGGCTGCTGAGAGTATTGATCAGCGAGCTGGAAAAAAACAACCAAACAAACATGAATGCTTCGTTTCTTGATCCTCTGGAAAATAACTCCAGACACCTGAACTTTTCGGAGAAGAACTCGCAACTCTTGCAGTTTGAAGACGAGGACTGCCACGTGCCTTTGGCCATGGTCTTCACCTTGGCCCTGGCTTATGGGACCGTGATAATCCTGGGAGTCTCTGGGAATCTGGCCCTGATTGTCATCATTTTGAAACAAAAGGAAATGCGCAATGTTACTAACATCCTCATCGTCAACCTGTCCTTTTCTGACCTTCTAGTGACCATCATGTGTCTTCCCTTTACCTTTGTGTACACTTTAATGGACCACTGGATTTTTGGGGAGGCCATGTGCAAATTGAACCCTTTCGTGCAATGTGCCTCAATCACCGTCTCGGTCTTTTCTTTAGTTCTGATTGCTATCGAACGCCATCAGCTGATCATCAACCCCCGTGGCTGGAGGCCAAGCAACAGGCATGCCTACATGGGGATTGCTGCCATATGGGTTTTGGCCACGGCTTCCTCCTTGCCTTTCCTGATTTACCACGTGCTGACAGACGAGCCCTTCAGAAACATAACATTTGATGAATATAAGGACAAATACGTGTGCCTCGACCTCTTCCCCTTGGACACTGCCCGGCTTTCTTATACCACCACTCTTCTGGTGATTCAGTACTTTGGACCGCTTTGTTTTATATTTATTTGCTACTTAAAGGTAAGAGAGAGCTCCCTCTGTGATATATATATATAGGTAATATATATATATATATATATATATATATATATATATATACTTTCTTTTTGTCTGATGTTTGCTTACCTTAGCGATAGCTGTGGTTGTAGGTTAAATTATCCCACCTGTTTCTCTTTGTTGAATTTCCCACAGATTTACTTTCGCTTGAAAAAAAGGAGCCACATGATGGACAAGATGAGAGACAGTAAGTACAGATCCTCTGAAACCAAAAGGATCAACATCATGCTGATCTCGATCGTGGTTGCCTTTGCAGTTTGCTGGCTTCCTCTCACCATTTTCAATATCGTGTTTGATTGGAACCATGAAATTCTGCCCGTTGCTACCTGCAGCCACAACCTGCTGTTCCTGATCTGCCACCTCACTGCCATGATCTCCACCTGCGTGAACCCTATTTTCTATGGGTTTCTCAACAAGAACTTCCAGAGGGACCTGCAGTTTTTATTTCACTTCTGCCACTTCCGCTCCCGTGAGGAAGATTACGAGACTATAGCCATGTCCACCATGCACACAGATGTCTCAAAAACCTCTCTAAAGCAGGCGAGCCCAGTCGCATTTAAAAAAATAAACAGTGATGACGATGACAAAATATAAAGAAGTAATAATAATTCTACACCAAACCTCTGGAAGTTCGCCCGCAGGTGAAATGTGCCCAAGGACAAGCACAATTATGTAACAAGTACAAAATGGGTAATGCTTTTCTTCTTTTTCCAAGGAACTTTGATTGTTGTCCCTTTGAAATGTTATGCTGTGCATTTTTTGCCCCTTACTCTGCTTTAATGTTCACAGCAGTTACATCTGAATCTTATTATTAAAAAGTGGCTGGACTTGCTCCTACCTATGGTTTTCAGCAACTTTCTCTTGTTCTGTTTCTTTGTACAGTTATGTACTTGAGCACAAAGACACACTTACTGATTTTTATTTTTTTAAGTTTTTATTATTACTATTATTTTTTTCCCCAAATAATTAGTTCTCAGGATTGTCCATTTAAGACCATTGCGGTATGAAGCGCGTATGAACTGCAGGGAGGCTGTCCCTACAGAGGACACCCATCCCAACATAAAATTAGGACATTCTGTTTGGAAGAGTTGTCCCCTTGTTTGTTTTTGTTGTTTTTAATCTGTCTTTTGATGAATTTAAAAATCCCGTGAGCGTAGTGGAGGCATGCACAAAACGATTCTGAGAAACCCATAGGTCACGTTAAATGGGGACATGCCTTTGGCTCATTCAGAGAGGCAATTCAGACTGTAATGACTTTGGTTCAAAGGCAGGATTAGGAGAGAAATTCTGTTCTCATTTACGAGAAGAAAAACCTGGAGTAATTCCACAGAACACAATGGGATAACTCGGATTTTCACCACAGCAAATGAAAGCACAAATGGGCCTTTAATCCCAAATTATTACAGCTGATTTTAGTAATGCAGGCTTTTTTAATTTTCAAAAACCCAAACCCCATTTTCATCTGCCATCACTGGAAGACTGGGATGAAATCTGCTGTCAGTCCCAAGCCTATGAACCATGTAAATTCTCCTTATGTCCTTTGTATGAATGTCAAGAATCTGGAGGGAGGTGGTCATGTTTGTTTTCTGTACAAGGTGTGATTCCATCCTTGCAGACGATGTTACAAATCAGGTTTGGGATTAAAAAAAAACAAAAAATAGCTGTAGCTACCTGAATCATTTCCTAATAATTAGTGCTGATCTGTACAAATGATGTATAGCCTCATTATATTCTGTGTTCAGACGCGATGATATAAACCTGGATTATCTCCAAGATGATGGATGACTTAACTAAGATCTGCAAAACTTAAAAGGAGGATATAGTGTGGTTGCAATTGGAACATTTTGCTTCCACAGTTGACTGAAGTGTGGGAATATTTGCCAAATGTACACAATAGAGCTCTGTGTTACTGCTTAAAATATATATCCTCTAATTACACGAAATGTACGTGACTAGATCCCCAGCTGAGGGAAGCCTGCATCACTTGGCTGCTGTAAATGAAACGATACCAATATCAGCCAGCTGAGGCTCTACGTCATATAGTGCACTTTGCTATATAATCAATGCCTTTTCAAATAATCAGCTTTTTAAAGTACAATATAGTCTTCGTTTAGCAATATCGCTTTGTACCCTTCTGACACAGAAGAGTGTCTTTAAAACAGGTGTAAATGTAGCATCAGTGGGAACCAAATCTGATATCTTTCAGATCTCAAGAAGATCTCAGGATGCGATGGTGAATTTAATACGCTCTAAATTAGATATGGATAACTGTCTGAGAAAGGAAGATTATTCGGTTTGCCAGCATTTAAAAGTCCAGAACTGTGCCTTGTGCAGTCTTAAAAACAGTGTAGAATATTCAAGTAGCAATGTGTTCTTGTGCTTTATAATTCAATGTATTTCTTTATTGACAGATAATTTAATTAAAAAGGAAGTTTCTGTACTTGAAAACAGAGAGAGAATGTATACAATGAATTATATGACAGTGCTTTCTTTCAGAGCCTTGCCCTTTCGTATTTTATGAGACGTCCCTTTTCTGGTGGCTCTTCATGGAGTGTGTTGCTAATATGACAAGAGGCTCCTGAAATTATTCCCCTGTCACTTCACAGTAATTTTGTTACACCAAAGGGTGTGTATTTCCACTGAGATGCACTGTAGAAACCCAGCTCTGTTCTTCTGCTAAGAATGTCACATCATGGTTTTCCCATTGGGGAAAAAAAAATCACAGTGTATTTTGATTATTATTATTGCTCCCATTTAAAAGAAATAAAGCAAATCGTCACTTTCTTCAAAACCAGCCGGAGAAGACAACAAAATTGCTTGGGGAATTTTCCAGTTAGTTTGTTGGAAACACTTAATCAAGCTGAATTAGAAGCTTACACACAGGAGCTGTTGGTGCATGGAGCTTCACAGGTCCTCAATAGGACAGCAGCACACTTAGTCCCACACCAACCTTTCTCCTGCTGGTGCTACTGCCTCAAATCACAGCATCCATCTCCCGAGGATGTTTGCCTGGGGATTTTTACCCTCCTGTCTGATAATCAAGTGGGAGCTGGGCCAGCAGATGCAAGCTAAAGCATCCCTTCAGCTCATCCGGGTGAAGCTCAGGAGCCATCATTCTGCTGCACTGCACCTTAGGATCAGGTTTCTTTCCCACGTTTCCTCCTCTCCCTGTGAGAGGCATGCTATGCTGCCTTTCCTAAGGCTCCACAAAGGGTGCAGATTCATACGTACAGCACGGAAATGCGTTTGTCAGCAGGAAAACACATTTGGAGAATTTCAGAAGCAAAATCATTGCTGTTTGAAAAGAATCTTTTATGAGAACAAAGATAAAAGAAATCTTCCTGAGGTGCTGACCTGACATCTGCAGGGGGTAGATGACATCTGCAGAGAGCAGTATTTTTGTCACAGGTTGCATGACTTGACACTAGAGTCCTCAAAAGCTGCTGGAGATGTTTTCCTCCAGACATCTGGCTCCAGCACTAATCCTCTCTTGCACTTTCACATCTCCAGCATGGCTGCTCATCCTATGTGCTACATTTCTAGATAGGGCAAACTGTTGGGTTTCATGTTTCTGAATCATTTTTCAATCGTTCTGTTTCCATTCTTCTTCTTCCTATGTGCTGTCAAACTCTCCCCATTTCAGCACGCACTGATTCCTATCCTAAAAGCCTGAAGACTTCATTTATTCTTTCAGACTGGTGGAAACCAAAGGAATCTGACAGAAACACAGACAGTGAGGGATCTATAAGGTAACTTAGCATTTCTGTGCACCACAGCTTCCACATATATGCTTAAACCCATCCCCATTTATTCAGTTTTGATTCTGAGTTCATGTGAATGAACTGAGATGAAACAGTGAAATTGGAGAATTTGCTTAATCATTTGCCTAAGCACTCTTACAGAATGATGGTGAACTGCTGGCGGGGACTTCACATCCTTTCCTAAAAGACAAAACATAACAAAACAGACTTTGGATTTCAGATTATCACAGAAATAAACCTGCATATAGATTTTCCTGGCAGTTTTCCTCTGGATTTTTCTTTGTAGTCCAGTGCCTGACAATACTTGAAGTTAATGCCTTGCTTCAACTCAGTTCTTGGTGAAAAGAATTTACCAAAGCAGTAGATACAGAATGAAGGCATTAAGAAACTTTATTTTTTTTAAACAAAATTAGAGTAGGAAATGTGAATTTAAATACCACCTTCATCTACAAGAGGCTAAAATAAATCGGTTGAGTATCAACAGTGGAGAAATTATAACTAATACATCATTTTAAAGTTGATGTGAAAGAAAATTCTTTTTTTTTATCCATGTTTTGCAGAATTTCAAGTGTTTGAGGATTACGTGTAAGAGGGGGAATAAGTATGACTGGTGTTAGTCCCTTATACCTTAATTTGCCTGTGGCCCAAAGTAATTTTCATACCATGTTTCTGCCCACGCTAAACAGTGTTTATATTCCAATTGAAGCCGAAACTTTGCAGATGAAGGAGGGCATCCACAAAGACTAGCTTTAGGGTAGTTTCCCTCATCTCCTTCAGTGGCAATTCAAGGGCATGCACACCTGCTCTACCATCTGCCAAAGTGTTTTTCTCTCCATTATCTCCATGTAACACCATGTACATAACAGCAGAAGGATGGCCAGCTTCCAGGGCAAGCGCTGCTGAATTCTTCCTCCCTCGTTTCATGCTCTGTGATGTTCCTTACACCTTTGGAAGGCGTTTCCTGAGGAAGCCTCAGGAATTTGTACTCTGGTTTCGTAAAGCCCAAGAGCAAAATTCAACTGTGTGAAGGACAGTGCTGTGAGCATGAGGTCAACTTTCAACAATTCCTTCCACAGAAATTCTCTTCCAGCAGGTTCCTGGTAGGCAAGCCTCTCAGAATTTGCACTCCATACAAGTCCAAAATTCACAAAGCCTATGGAGGTTGGAAACATGTCCATACAAAATATCCGGCACATTATAGCAATATTGACAGTGCACTGCGTTTCACAATTCCTGGAGATCTGTTCTTCTGACATCAGTGAGTCTACATTGCAAGAAACTTGCACCAGATGCAACAGTTTCTGAGGTCACTGCACAGGGGACCCTAACTTCCCACAAATCATGCTAAATTTCAGAGACACGGGGAAATAGACGGAGCTTGGAAAAGAGCAGAAGGTACAGATGAAGCCTCGATGTGTTCTGACAGATACAGACAAAAAGATTAAAAGGCAGACTCATCTGTGTTTCTGTTTGGAGTCAACAAGCTGGTATGTAAATGTTTCTAAGGCAAATCTGTGGTCCAAAGATCGTGTAGGATTAATGGCTTCTCTGCATCTGTTTCCGAAAAAAGGGACATGGATCTACAAATGCAAATACATCGGAAGGTTCTTCATCTTAGACGAATGTAAATCTTTTTTAAAGATGAAGAAAACAAAACATTTTTGGCAAAACCAAAAAAGGACAGCTTTTCCTTGCACCCACCCACAGGCACATGGGTCCATTTTCTTTCTGCATGAAATGGAGAACATTTGTCTACGGCAGGAGGAGCAACACTGAAGCAGGCTTGTCTTTCGTGCTTCATGTTCATACTGATACTGTGCTGCTATTTTTCACTCTGCAATCTTCTTTTGTTTTCCCCCCAAAGCGATGTCATTTTTATTATGCTATTTATATTCTTTCTTAATAAAAGTTTTGTGAAAAAAAAAAAAAAGCTGCTTGCAAGATCCTGTTCTACATGTGCTTGAACATATGGGTGAAAGACATCAGAGAATTTGAAGTAATGTGCCCAGTGCTGTGATGATATTTCAGGGTGTAGAAAAAGTAGGAAATGTATTTGATTTGTTACATGCTGTTCTCCAGCCTTTTTTTTGGAGGGGGGAGAAGAAGGGGGGGGATTACAGCTTTATTTCATTCAATTTGAATGTCACCTAAGTGCACCTATTCAGTATTCCTGCTGGGTGACCAGTCTCTGGAGACAGAGGAAACACTGGGCAACACTTTATTTCCTTACTTATGGCCTTAACGATTGCCTACAGGCTTCTCACTATCTGTAATGCGTTTGGACGTAAAAGCAAAAGTGCTCACTTCTTTCTCTTAAAGACTAGTAAACGTGGCTCATTTAAGAGATGATTGGAATACCTTTTTTGATATTTTTTTTTTACCCCATTGTTATTACAGTAATGTTTGAGGCTGTTTGCATGAGCCTTCATTTATCACAGGTGTATGGGAACTGCTGAGTCACGGCCTGAACCTCTGATTGATCAGCTGAGGTGAGCCTTGAGTCAGCCAGAGGAGCACAGCTGAAGGCAATTCCTAGACCTATTTAAGAGCTGGCTACCAGTAGAGAAGGTTTTCTTCTGGAGATCTGCTGTGCTGGTGTTTTGTGAGTGAGCCCAGGATAGGGGTAAGCCTTCTGTTTATTTTCTTTTGTTATCATAGTCTGCTTTGCCTGATTTTCTTGTTTATTTTGTAATTATAACATCCTAATGTTCCTTGGTTATACAACAGTCAAGGGTAGTCCCACAGCTGTCAGTTATGGTGTTTGTGTGCTTAGAATTAGGCAGGTTCTGAGATAAGAGCCTTCAAACCTGACCTACAGCAAGGTTAACAGACAGCCTTCTATTGACTTCGGTGAACTTTGGGTATGGTCCTTGATTCAAGTGGCGCTGAGTAGCAGTACATGTCTGAATTTCTGTTTGCTAGAGAGGGCAGCGGGCCATAAAAAGTGACTTTTTAGCTTTGTGGTCCTAGAAGAGACACTACTCCACAGCTGCCATGTCATTGTGAGGGGTATATGAGGTAGTTGCCTTCAGCTAGCACTTATAGGTTGCTTCATCCATGAGTTTTGCTGTGATGTATTTCCTTGACAGAGTTACCAGTTAAATGCCTCTGCCAGCTTGTCTGGCTAGCTGACTAAAACCCATTTGCTTCTCAGAAAATAGAAGAGGGCACTAGCACTTCTGAATGTAGTTTTGGTTCTCTGCAAGTATACATACTCATAGGTTTTTCACTGCTACAAGTGTAAATTTAGTTTATTGTTATTATTGCTGTTTTTTTTTTCTACTTAATCAAAAATAAAATGAAAAAGGATCATTGTCACCTGGACAGCATCACTGAGATTTGAAGTTCACTCCAGGTGGTAAGGGATATCAGTCTGCAGTGAGAGGCTGGGAGCATGACTAGCAGTGGTGCTCTCACAGCACAAACATCAGAAATAACGAATAAAACTAATTTGAATTGTTGCTTATACATGGCTGTCTTCAGAGTTAGGTAAAGGTATCTTTAAAGCAATGTATTGAAACTTAAATACTAATTTTTTTTTGTGGTGAAAACTACGCTTTCAAATAACTCAGTGTCTTAATGAAATTACAGAGCCTGAGCCTAATCTTGCTCCTATTCATCCTATGGTGCAGTTGCTCTTCTATTGCTATCAATAAGATTATGATATAGATGAGGCACATAAGGGCAATCAGCCTATGTTATTTAATCAGCAGATGTTATTTAGGTCTGTGTTACTTAGGATGTGAATATGTTCTCGGATATTTCACTCTTGGTTCTTAAGAAAACAATGTACAAGGTCTTAAAATTGCTATTTGGAGAAGATCCTGAGCACTCTACTCTTGGTGTCTCTGCAGAAGCAGGCAGTTGGACTGGCTGAACCTCTCTTCCAACCTCAAGCCTGTGAACTGCATCATCAAAAATTGCTTCACAGAGTAGAGCAGTTTCTTTCTTTAAGTAAAGCATTTAGGGAGCTGTTTTTATCTCCAAACGATGAACTACTGTGTGTTTGCAAATTGTATCTATTGGCAATTATATGTATTTAGTTTTAGCTTTCCATTTGTTTCACTCTGGTGTTAAAACACCACCTGAGAAGATGTTCTCAAATGTTAATTCTTTAAGCATCTTGAGAAGCACAACCTGATTTTTCTAATCTCTTAAAATACCCTGGTCTCTGCAAAAAGCCTTTTTGCTTTGTAAACATTTCAGTGCTAACCCATGACATGATATATTGGTGTTATTAATCCATTAAGCGAGATCCAAGTAACCCTCTTGTATTGAAGTATTGCCACTTCTCCCCAGTATCCAGATTTGGTGTAATAAACTTTTGGATGGACTTGTTAGAGCTTGATTTGATTTATATACAAAAGCACTGAATGCAAGAGGAACTTGGTGTAGTTGTACACAGACAAGTTTGGGGAAGATTTGGAGCTATGCTGGTGAAAAGCGTTTCTATCAATGATTAAATAAGGGAAAGAATGCAGGACTCACTCTTGTCTGTTATATAGAGCAGCAGTGAGCTGGCCAGAGTTATCTGGTCAAAGAGCTCAATTTTACATCTGAATGAGTCGGAGCAATGTGGGAGGAAGTACCATGGTAGAATTTGACTGAAGAGCTGTGGTATTGCAGAGCTGGTTTGTATAGGAACACAAGGAGAGAGCGGAGGCAGACTTGGTGGGCTGAGGAGCAGGTATATGACATGGAATCCAAATCTTTATACTATTATTTACAGTAACCTATGGTATGGAATCCAGGATAATTATCAGCTCTAGGCCAAGCTGTAGTACATGTATATGTGTTTGTCACAGATTCTGTTTTGGTAATAAGAACCTAAAACTTAATAGTTGATGCAAGTAAAATCCAGTTTAGTGTGGTTCCTGTGAAAGAGAGAGAACTTGTCAGTGCAGATGGTGACAGCACAAATTACACTTCTGCAACTTTAAAGCCAGCTGAATTTGAAAGAGTTCTGATTGCTCTAATACACTGTGCTTACTTGGTGCAATGTATTTTTAAAAAGCTACAGATGAAGCAGTGTTTCTGATGAATATATAAGCAATAGTACTAGCTGCATAATAAAGATGAAAGTGTTGTTCATACATTGTTTTTAAAAGCTGGTGTTAGCCCTGTCAGGCTGGATTTTGCCATTTGATTTCCTACATGGTTTCTTAGAAAACCGGTACTGTTTATACAGTGACTGTGATTGCTGCTAGGGGGAAAACAACACTAACAAAACCACGCAAACCTCACTTCTCAGGAAGTAGATTCTTACACGATTTGTTAAACCCTCCCCTCTCTCCATCAAAAACTTCTCCATCTTGTTTTTAGCTCAGGATAGCACAGAGTGCATTCTGATAACTTCAGAACCTCAGGTAAGGCTCGACACCAACACTGACAGAACCAGACAGCTGTGCTGCTTTGCCACTGATCTCTGAATGAGACCACAAACTACTCTGTTACTTTGCCCTGGCAGCCAGAATTCAAGAGCAGATAGGGCTACTTTCATGAGACAGGAACCATGATAAATACATGATTCTAGTTCTTATTTAGAAATATCCTGCACAAGGTTCTGTTTCCAGAACACAGTTTAAACAAGCAACAATGGAAGATTGCTAAAAAGACAGGTTCCCAGTGATCCTGGTTGTCACAATTCCTGCTGCTCTGCATCATTTTTGCAGCTCTCTGCACTGACCCCTTCTATTCCCACTGCAAGCAGGTAATGTGGCTGTAAATGAAATGAAGGTCACACAGACCTCTCTTAGGTGTGGTTCAGGATTAAGCAGTCCCTCTTCCCACCTTCTTCTCTTACCACGCTTCTCAATCACTTATTTCTCTGAATGGTAAACGAAGCTGTGCTGCTGATCTGGCTTAATTATAACCTAACAATAAAGTAGGTGCCCTGGGTGAAGCATGGAGCTTAATAGCAGGACAGAGTGACCAGCCATGGTCGGACATACACAGTGCTTAGGCTGGAATGATCATGTAAAAATGTTAGTCAAACCGCACCCTAGACTTGTAATAAGGAAAATACTTGTTTGTCCATCAGTGTTAGCTCTGACCTGGATTTTGGGTGTCCATCATCTTGTGAATAGCTGTTTTTGCAAGACTGGATTGGCCCTTATATGACACCAGTGGTGAGCTTACTGTTTTAAATGCTCCTCTTTGTGTTTAGGCCTTATGTGATGGCAATCATTATTTTCTTTCCATGTAAAGCTGTCTTGTCTGCTATGCAGCAGAAGCAGTGAATTCAGTTCCACGGAAGCATGCATTTTCTAGTCAACTCTACACCACAGTGTGGGTCTCTGGATTGCAAAGACTGGCATTTCTGTGGTTTTATTCCCCCCCCCCTTTCATTGGAAACTACTGGAAAGAAACATATGGCTGCAGGGTACATCCAATGAGTAAAGAAAAAGCTATGCCCCTAAATCCAAAGGTTTGTATTCAGGAAAGTGCAGTGGTTGAGATTTCTGTTTGAAGAGGAGGCCAGGCAATGTCACTGATATGCCTGAGACTCAAGCTTGCTCTAAATATATTTTGATGATTTATTAATAGGAATAACGCAAGAAGGCTCAAAATGCCTTGCTTAAATTGGTATGAGGCTTCCACCAGCAACTACTGTGTTGAACCACTGTGAAATCCAGTTCTGAGCTCATTTTCAAAGCTTTAACTTGGAGTTCCCTCAGTTTGGCTACCTTGACCTCTGAAATCTCACGCAGGAGAGCACGCCTCTCCTGCAAAGTCCCACAGAATATGATAGTAATAGATGGAAAGAGTTGAAGTATGAACTTATTTACTGCAGCCACTGAGGCCAGACTGTATGACATATTTATATCTAAACAGCAGCATTTTCATGAAAGAGAGAAATA